CAATCCTTCACAGCTACAACTTTAGAAGGGTCAGTAGATACTCCAGAGGCTGAGATAATATGACCCAAGTATTACACTTGAGTCTGTCCAAAGAAGCATTTGGATATCTTGGCAAATAATTGATTAGTTTTCAAAATTTCCAAAACTAATTGAAGTTGAACCACATGATCTGCCATAGAGATACTGTAAACTAGGATATCATAAAAAAACACCAAGACAAATTTTCTAAGAAATGAACTAAACAATTCATTCATTAGAGCTTGGAATGTAGCATGGGCATTAGTAAGCCCAAAGGGCATTACCTTAAATTCATAGTGGTCTTGATGAGTTCTAAATGTTCTCTTGTAGATATCCTCAGATTTAATTTTGATTGGCCAATAACCAGACCTCAAATCAATTTTGGAAGAATATACTGCTCCATGCAACTCATCGAATAAATCATCCACTACAAGAATTGGAAATTTGTCTTTCACTATCATGCTATTTAGCTTCCTGTAGTCTACACAAAACCTCGAAGTACCATCCTTCTTTTTAATTAAAAGACATGGAGAAGCAAATGGACTTTTACTTGGCTGAATAATAGAGGATGATACCATATTAGCAATCTGCCTTTCCACTGCAACTTTCTGATTGTGTGGAAATCTATAAGGTCTTAAATTAATAGGAGCAACTTCAGGTTTAAGAGTAATAGCATGATCATGATTCCTTGTAGGTGGCAGACCTGTAGGCTTAGTAAAAACAAAGTGATATTGGTCCAAAAAAATTGAATAGTTGTAGGAACAATTTTGGAACCTTCAGACATAGAAAATAGGACTATATGTCCCAAAATAGATGAGTCAGAAGCTGTCATATTCAATAGGGTAGCTCCTAAAATCTTCTGTAGAAAATTAGATTGTTGCTGACCTTGTATAATAATCTACTCCCCTTTATACACAAAACTCAGTGTCATATTATTGAAGTCCATCAAAATTGGACTGAACAGTTTCATCCAATCCACCCCTAATACCATATCACTGCCCCCCAACTGAAGTAATCTAAAATCATGTATAAAAGAGTGCCCTTGCATCTTCCATTCCACCTCATTACATCTTGCTGGACTATAAAGTTGTTGTCCATTAGCTACTGTAATAGCCAAAGGATTGGGAGTATTAACCTGTTTACCAGCTTCAGCCTACTGAGGTTAAAAACGTGGGGTACTACCATTGTCAATCGGTCAGAATCTGCTGGTGAATTCTCTGAGGGTAAAACTGTGACATCCTCCATCATCATGTTCAATTGCTTCATTTTGCATTGATGACCTGGAACAAATTTATCTCCACATTTAAAGCATAAATTGTTGTCTTCTGTAATGTATTAAATTCTGCTTTGGTGATGGATTAGCTGAATTTTTCTGCTGTACTGGTAGTTTGTTTGGCTTTGAAGTAGATATAGGATTTGGATAAGTTGAACTTCTGAAGGTTGATCTCAATCTTTTTCTTTCAAATTCCATAGACAGCTCATATAACTTAGCTTGCCTACATGCCTCAGAGAGTGACTTAGGTTCCAAAGCCTTAACTCTGTTTTTAATATCTTCCCTTAACCCACTAACAAACAGAGAAATAAAAAATTCTTCCCCTAATGTAGGGTTTTGTTATAACATATGTGGCTGTTTACTACTCATATTAAATGAGTTAGGAGTCTGTACCTGATCCTTAGCAGACTGGTTTTGGTCCTCCTTCCTCCCAGTCAGAATCTTTAAGATTTCCTCAACATATCCATGATTCGTAGCCATCGTAGATTCCAATGCAGAAATTCTGTTGTCCTGAGTCTCCCACCATTTAGGAGGATTAGACTCATCTTGTCCTTGTTTCACCAGTGTTGTCAATTTTTCCATCTGTTTCTGCAACCCAGCTAAGTCTTCTACCATGTTTTGATTTTTCTTGGGCATACCACAACTCTTACTAGGAACCGAGGCTCTCAATACCAATTTGTTATGGTTTGAGATGATTAGAAGAGAAATCAAGAAATAGGTAATAGAAATAGAAAGAATTTAGAGAGAATTCAGAGAAGAAAATGCTTGTTCATTCATAATCTGAGAAATCAGATGTCTCACAACCAATCTTATTTAGTTACAGGGTTAAAAACGTAAATTGTAAAATATGCCAGCTGGCATTACATCAATAACAGTTATAACAAACTGATCTTATCTTCCCCTTTCAGGTTACTGGGCCACCAATCTTGGGCTGCTTCAACTGAACTTGGGTATGAAACTCCACTGGATCCAATGCCTTCTGAATCGGTTCAACAATACGATATACTTCAAAGGGTAAGTGCATTCTTTCCTCTTCTTCAATTGTAATCCCTAATTCCCTTCTTTCCATTCATTCCCTCACCTCAATTCCCAATTCTCCATCCTCACCCTAGGCTTCTACTTTCCCCAATTCCTTCATTCTCTTCATAGTCATCATTCTTATCCCGCTCATTTCTTCCAACTGTAACAGTTTGGATGGATATTCGGATATCCGATCCAAAAATTCAGATATCCAAAAATTATCCATCTCATACAAGGGTTAAACCGTCCCATGCCTAGCTCAATTTGAAGGCAGTGATTGTAGTTAACATATATTCACCCAAACTCAAACAAATTGTCTAGGTGGTGTAGTTAGTTATCACGCTAGTCTCTCACTAGAGGCCCCCGGTTTGAACCCGGTGTCAGAAATGTTTTTCCCTATCTTATTTTTTTTCTCACACATATGAGTCTTCAATCCATGTGAATGAAGGCTTCTTCATAAATGAAGTAATGAAGAGGCCAGTTATTAATGGCAGTTATTAGTTAAAAAAATTTAGCATTCAACGATTTCTACAAAGATAATACAGGTTTATGATGTTGATGGTTGAACATGTTATGATGTCATCAATTTCACTGCTATTTTGTAATTACATTTGCTTTAGGAACTATAATTTTCATCTTAGGATATAATGAAGAATTGAGATCCATCTCCTATACTATTTCTTTTATGCTATTGTTCTAATATTGTTATATGAAGAAGAAGTTGGGATGGTTTTCTATTCTATGGTTGACTGCTTGAGGTTTTCCATTTGCACAATGCATGTAATCTTGAAAATTGAAAGACCACATGAATGATTATTTTGGATTTTCAAATTATTTTTCCCTCTTTCCCCCCTAAAATTAGGTTACTCCTTCTCATTCCTTTAATGATTGTTATGTAGTATTCTTTTATTGTTAAATGCTACGATTGCTACTGGTCTGGTATTAGTCAAATTTCGGGTAGTAATTTCAAATTTAGCTTGTACAGGCTAGTCTGTAGTAAATATATACAGATTGAAACTTTTATTGTCAATTTCACTTTTCATGCATAAGTTTCCAATCTTGAATTTTGTATGAGGTTGATTGTCATATATTCTTCCTCGAGGGCATAATTTTTGTGTTCTTAGTTGGATAATCTGCGGTGCATGTAGTCGAGAGGAATTTATAGTTGTCTGTTTTCTTTCTTTAGTAAGTGAGAGTATTTTAGGTGCGACTTGATGTGGTTCCTTTTATACATGGAATGCAATGGATGTATGCCTATGGCTGCAACCTCTTAACTTGATGATGTATGGGGTTCAAATCTCAGCATTTGAAAAGGTCTCCTTTGTATCTAAGGAGAAAAGTTGGATATGTGTTGAGCAAGAATATAAAAGGATTGAGCTATCCTTACAGATGATATAGCTATCCTTACAGATGATGGTTGAATTAAGGTTGAAATGATTGAGCTTGTAATGGATGAAACTAAAGCAAATAGGATAATAATTTCGATCGAGTTGAACACTTGAACTATTGTTATGAACAAAACTGTACATCCAAACACTCTCCCAAAGTTTTAGCAAAGTTCTCTCCCTCGTTATTAGATCGAAGAGTTTTAATTTGACTTTAAAATTGAGTTTCAACTATAGTATAGAATCGCTTAAAAATATTGATAGTTTCATACTTTTCCTACATTAAATAAGTTCAAATAGTTCTACTATGATCATCAATAAAAATTAATGAACCATTGACAACCATTAATATTCTTTACCTTAGAAAGGCCCCTATAACCCCCTTTACTTGACCTACGAGAAATAGGTCGATCCAAAGAGTCAATGTTGAACTTGTACCTCAAGAAAATTATGTTCGATTCAAAATTTAGAAATTAAGATTAAAATTATAGAAACATTTTTCAAGTTAAAAGTTCAATATTTTATTAAAAAATAAATGTCAAAGAGAAATTTGATATAATTAATAAATATTCAAAAACATGCATAAATAGTTTCAAAAATAATTAAAATGTTCAAAGTCTCAAATTACATAACTAAAAATAATAATAATTCTCAAATAAAAATATGAATAAAAATTTGAAGCAAGAAATTCGAATATAATTTCATACTGATTGTAATAATTTATTCTGAAAAATGATGTAACTCTCTATGTACTGAATCGCCTAAATACGAGTATCTGAAAGAGAAACTACGAGGGTGTAAGCTATTAAGTTTAGCGTGTCTCTAAAGTGAATCAATCACAAGTCTCACATTACAAGTCAAAATGTAATCCGATTCAAGGGTAATATTCATAGTTTGATTAATATGCAAATGAATACGCACACATAAGCCTTACACCGTCTGAAAAGTAGATTATCACTTTCTACTAATACCATCAGAAGTGAGGTACGCCACAAAGACAGTGGCTACTGAATCCGTAGTGAAATTCACCCCGTCGAGTGAACACACTGAAGATCCTCTATCAATCCCAACCCAATGTAACATGATAATACAACATATATATGAATTATGATATGATCCAAATGTAATAATTACATAATCAAATATTCTGAATGTATAGCATATATATTGAATCTGACGTATCAACATACATTACATGACATTTCTTCGAATTGCATTTAATACAATCAATTCCACAAAATAGTCAAATTCACAATTCAACAATACATACCAAACATTCACAGAAGTAAATATAGCACTGAATAGAGACACTTCGACCAAATAACTCTAACGACGATCATTACGTCTTCCACGTTTAGCTCTAACAGTGGGTCGAATCGAATCGACTCCTACAATATAATCAAATAATAATTTTATTAACCTAATTTATCAATAAACTAATCTAAAGCCAAAGTACCAACTAAAATTCAGGGTTAGGTATTGTAATTCGAGTCAAAGATTGAGGTGGCGGTAATTTCGATTCCAGTTTGATATCCCCTGGAAAAAAATTACGACGTCCGATTTAATATCCCAATACAACAATTTTTAGATTAATATAGAAATTAATACCACACTAAATCAATTTTTGGTTCGAATTGAAGATTGGACAACGGGGTTTCGAGTTGATTAAGGAGCTACCAATTCAATAAAAATTGTCCGATTTGGCCATTACCAAGGCCGCCATTGACAAGAGTCACAGCAGCAGCAGCGGTACGAGGGACAGACAGCGTCAACTCACAGTTTTCTTACCATGAAAGAGAGAATGTTAATAGAATGGACAGGCGATGGGATGTCATGGCCCTGGATGAAAAATTAGGGATTGATGGTCATGAATTATGGATTGAGGATTAGAGAATTGGGAAATTGGAAAAGGAATTAGGGATTTTGAATTATGAAAGAGGGGAAATGGGAAACTTACCTGATGCAGTAAAAAATAAAGAGGACTAAGGAAGGGCCAACAAATAAGGAGGATCCATGGCAGAAGAGAAGCAAGGAACGCTTGAGAATCTGTTAATAGAATATTACATCTATAAATAAAGAATTGTATAACCTAAGAGATATATATGGATTTGTAATCAAAATAAAGGGTTATGAATGAAAAATCGAGAATCTTTTTCTGTAAACCTACCTTTTCTTCTTCTTCTTCTTCTTAAATCCTTTCCTAAAAATTTCAAGTGCAAACCTGAAAATTGGTAATCAGAGCTAAGTTTAGTGATCCCAAAGAATTATATTCACTCTGGGTAAGACAAAAAAGATGCAAAAAACAAGAACCATAGAGGTACCAGAACAATCAATGGAAGTTAAGAATGAGGAGACTTACCATCCTGGTGGGCTGGGCAGAAAACAGAGTTGGAAGCAAGGATACAAACACTAGAAGAGGGAATGACCGAAAACAGAGGATATTTGCAGAGAATCCTATAGATGGTAAGCCAGACAGCTGATGAACCCTGATGAGAGGGTAACGACGAGAGAGTGGCGGCACGACGGATAACTTCCGGTGATGAACCCTGATGATAGGTAAGAGAGATAGTGAGCGGCATGCTTGGGCATCAGCAAAATAAAGAAGAGTGAAGCAGTTGTTCGTTGAAAATAAAACAAAGGGGAAAAAGGAGAAAGAGCGGCCGTGCTAAGTCTTTTAAAAGTGGAGTTGTGATATGATAAAAATTGGGGAAACTGCAAGCTTAGTTACCGAAATCTATAAGGTTTTCAGAACAAGCTACAAGTTTTAATTTAATTACAAATAAGTCCTAGACAAGAATTAAGGATTTGAAGGAAAAATTCCCAAATTCTAGGGTTTTTCATCTAGGAAAAAATTAGGGTATTACAGCCCCAAATGTCACTATTTATAAGAAAAAAGGATCATAAGGTTTGTATAAAGATGACATATATGAGATTTTTGTGTGCTTAGCAAATTGGGATATGGAGCAATGAAAAGTGTGATGCTGTTTATTAACAAATAAGAGTGGAAACAAATTGGCTAAATAGTAAAACCTATGATGGCCTAACCTAAATTATTTGTAGAAGATGAAAGCTGATGAGTTTGAAGAATATAGAGCCCATTAGAGAGCTTAGCATTGTCAATCATCTTCCCTCAGTTCATTTCCTGTCATTCACAAGTATTATTAGTAAATGTAGTAACACATTTCAACTCTCTAGATAATTTACTAATTGAAAGAAGATTGCAAGTCAAATTAGGGACATAGAGAACATTGTGCAAGATTATGTTCGTATTCACAAAAATATAACCATTTTGTGCAATGGAAGATAAAGAACCATCTACTGTTGGAATGGAGGATTAGTTAATTGTAATATGAAACTCACAAATCCAATCTTTATTCCCATTCATGTGATCAGAGGCCCTAGAGTTGACAATCCATGCTGGTGTTTTTTTTCGGTTAGTAGAGCAATAAATGTTGAACTACCTTGTTAACAATCACAAGCTATAAGATTAGAGTTGGTTCATCCAGTAAATTGTCCAAATAGCTTCTACAGATCCTCAACCCACTGTTTGGTAAATCTACTAATCGCATCAATGTTAACCAAATTAGACTAAGACTCCTTGAACGGTCTACTAGAGGACGATTTCCAGTCTACTGGTTTCCCATACAACTTCGAATATTGATTTCTAACATGTCCTATCTTCATGCAATAATCACATCATGGTTTTCCTTTGCGTTTTTTGTTGTGAAAGAAGAATGGCTGAGCAGGGCTGAACTATCAACGGAAGGTAAGTCATCCAGCATAAGAGTCCTCCTACTCTCTTCCCTTCGAATCTCGACAAACACTTCATGAATTAAAGGAAGAGGTCTTGTAGCAAGAATTGTACAACGAACCGCATCTCACTCCTTGTGTAAGCCACTGAGAAATTGAAACACTCTCCATTGGGTTATTATTGTTTTGTGAAGAGCTGTAACATTTGGAGTTTTCCAATCATGTGCAACATATAAGTTAATCTGCTGCCAGTATTGAGTCATAATGTTATAATAGAGAGTAACACTCACAGCTTCTTGTTTAAGATTCGAGGCCTCGCTCTCAATCCCAAATAATTTAGATATATTATTTGAACTAGAATAGGTTTTTTCAATAGCACACTATATTTCATGTGCAGTTGCATAGAGGAGAAAACTTTCCCCAACTGCGGGTGCCATTGAATTTATCAATCAGGACATTTTTCATATCCTGAAGCGAAGCTTGTAGTTTGTTGAATCTCCCCTGAAATGTAAACCCAATTTTCCCTTATTAGTAATGAAGAGTTTAATCGATTATGTACATTAAAGATAATTATTATCCAACAATATGTGGCATGTAACAATCGAATTTAAGGACTCAAAAATATCATCAGAGCTAGAATTAGGTTTTGTGTTAGAGTTGATGTCATTTGAAGATGAGTTGGTCATCGTGCTAGGTTTAGTATTTGGAACCTAATCTGATACCATGTAGAAACTAATGAAAATAAGACTTGTTTTCTCATTATTTCATTTTAGTACAACTCTTACAAAGTAAGTCATTTTAAAAGACTAGCACCTAGAGTTTACTTATGATAGAACTCCAAAAAACTGTACAACACTTTTAAATTTTAAACTAGAGATAAGGTAAATACAAACTAACTAATAATTATCTAGAAATAACAAACTCAAACTACTTGAACTTATCTAGAACTCACAGTATGTACGAAGAAGAAGAAGATTATTTCTCTGTATTTATTGATATATATATTGATAAAAGTGACATTTATTTGTAGGTTACAAAGAGAGTCTAATTTAGGAAAAATTATTCAAAATCAGCAAATTACAAAAAAACCAGTAGCTACATTATTGTTAAATCCATAAATGTTAGCATCTATATGTTTAGGAATATAATTTCTTAATTTTCCAGTATTTATTCCAATTTCAGATTCATATAATCCTATGGATTCAACTAACAAGAGACTTTTGCACGAGTAATAAAATTAACCATTTTAGAGTATTTTTATCACTAACAATAAATAAACATCGACCCCTCTTTCAATTAGATATAAAAATCTCTTATTGAAAGGGAAATTTGAAAATTATGTCTACATGAAAATTATCCCATGCTTGGAAAGATACTCTAAATACCACTAGGTATGTAAATTGAAGAAATCATTGTATAACTTGAAGCAATCGCCAAGAGCATGGTTCGACAAATTTACCAAAACTTTGGTGAAAATGACTACAAATAGTGTCAATTTAATCATACGCTCTTCTTGAAGATGTCTCCAAAAAGTAAGAAGATTGTTCTTATAGTGTACATGGATGATTTCTTCATCCATGATGATCAACAAATAAATGGTCTTTGGGCTACATATTTTGAAACTAAATAAATTGGTTCACTCAAATTTTTATGGGAATAGAGTTACTTTTGGAACTGGTATGCTGGGAAGCAAACCAACTGAGACTCTTATAGATTCTAACTTAAAATTAAAGAATGATGGAATGATAATTCCATTAAATAAAGATTAGTACCAAAGGCTTGGTAAGTTAATTTATCTATTCCTAACTAGACTAGACATTGCTTTTTTAGTTAACATCGTGAGTCAACATATGAATGACTCTAGAGAAGAGCACGTTGATGAAATTAACAAAATTTTTAAGATATCTTAAGATGACACTTGGACACATTGATTTTTCAAGAAAAATGAGAATCGCCAAGCAGAAGTATTCTCTAATGCCAGATGGACTGGAGAGTTAACTAACAGAAGATCCATGAGTGGTTACTACTAATTTTCTTGGGGAAATTTGATAACATAGAGAAGCAAGAAACAAGCAGTGGTGTCAAGAAACGTGTATAAGTAGAATTTTGAGAACTAGCACATGAAATTTGTGAAGGAATATGGATACAAAGATTGTTGAAATAATTGTAGCTAGACTTCAATGGATAATACGAAGTACAAAGTGACAACAAATCTACCATCAACATTGTCAAGAATCATGTTCACTGTGATAGAACCAAACATGTGAAAATCAATAAACACTTCATTTTAGAGAAGGTTAATATTGGTTTAGTAAAATAAACTACATTCCTACACGAAAATAGCTTGTGGATGTTCTTACAAGGTACTTCCAAGAACAAACTTTGATGAGCTCATATCCAAGCTCAGATTCTACAATATATACTCATTAGCTTGAGGGGGTGTATTTTGTAACTGCATAACTTAGTTGTTAGAGTTTTAGTTTAACTTAATTGCTAGAATTTTATGTTCTATTTACTTGGTACTCTACACCTTATCTAATTAAGAGATTAGATAGGATACTAATTAGATTATGTTAACTCCTAGTAGGACATCTCTCTAGCGTGAAGCACCGAAGATTCTTTTGTAAGTATCGATTTACTATTTCAGTTTGTCTAGATGAGTAGCCAAACAGTCACGTTATTCATTGAAAACATTCTAACAAAGCTACATTGGAAAGGATTGAGCCAAGTTTTTTCAAGGCATGACGATGTTTTTAACCCTTTCATAGTGAGAAAGAATGATAAATTCAGGAAGAGATTTGGATTTGTAAGATTTTCCAATATGAGAGATCTATAAAGGGTGATTGCAAGACTGAATGTTTTTGTCTTGTACGTGTTTAAAATTTTTGTGTTTGAAGCAAGTATGGTGGTAAATCGATGAATTAGGGGAAGGTAAATAACGACAAATCTTCACAGCCATCGTAGATAACATTTTTTAAAGATAATAAATTTATATTTAGGGAAGCTGTTGGGAAATAAATGAGTAATTTCCCTATAACCAGATTAGTGAGAATGTGAAATAAAAACAGAAAAATAATACCCAAAATTGATAACGGAGTTCAGCCAATTATGTCTACGTCTCCGGACTGTTGGAGATCTTTAACTAAGAGAGAAAATTTACAAGTGTTTTCAAAACACTCACTACTCACAAGAAATCTCTCTAGTATTGGGAGAAAGAAATGATTTGGGATGATTTTGAAGCTAAATGGGTTAGGGTATTTATAGTTGAAGCTTAGGGACTAATCTTATAAATACCCTAAAATGTATAGGGACTAAAGTGTAATTAACCCTATTATAATTATAATTAAAAATTGGGGCACTGAATTTAGTGCCCCCAATTTTTGAAATCGGTGCTCTATTTGAAAAACCAACCCCCCTTTCTAGCCCATTTTTTGGACTTTTCAAACAATCTCCTACTTGAAGACTGATTTTAATCTGTCTTCACACCTCGTCGATGCAGCAGCATTTCTGGTCTTGTTACTCTAGCATGCCAACTGAAGCTGAACACAACTTTAGTTTTTCCGTAGTCATTGTCTTTGTTAACATGTATGTCGGATTTTGAGCTCCACTAATCTTTTCAAGTTTCAAAATCCCATCTTCCAGAAGAGACCGGATAAAATGATATCGCAATTGTATGTGCTTCGTCCTGGAATGAAAAGACGGATTCTTTGCTAGATGGATAACACTTTGACTGTCACAATACAAGACATTGTTTTCTTGTTTCTTGCCTAACTCTTCCAAGAAACTTTGGAGCCAAACCATCTCCTTGCTGGCTTCCGAACAACGATGTATTCCGCTTCAGTTGTGGAGAGAGCAACTATCTTATGTAT